AATCGTCCCTGGAGGATTTGTCCTTTGTTCCTGGATTAAGCTAGGCCAGCTGTCACTCACTCAGGCCAAGCTTCACCCGTGGCCTAGGGTCACTTCTGAGCTCCCATCAGAGGGGGAACCTCATGTGTTTCATGCAGGTCCCTGTGCCAAGTCTGTGCAAAGCAGCATGAGGAAAATGACAAAGGAGTGATTGCTCCCAGGCAGGCAAGGGATGCTTGCTGGCAGCATTTCCAGGTTTGGGGAGAGGGAATTTCCCAATGGAGGGTCTTGCAATGCCTTTCCCACAGCCAAGAGCACTCCTGGCTAAGAGTAGGACGGACTTGAGCTGTGTCTGCCTGGCTCTGCTGACATTCCCAGGGCTTCTCTCATGACCTCTTGTCTAGACCCTAACAGGCCTCCTGAACACACTGGGCTGGTTTCTGTGGCCCTGATCCCTCTTGCATTGGTGCCATCACCATGGGTGGCATGTCTGGTCTCTGCATTGTCAACACCCCCTCCCCCCATGGCAATTTCCTGTTGTAAGAGAAACCCCTGGTCTCCATGCCACAGTTGAAACACTGGCTGGGTTCATCCCTCCTTTTCTCTCCCAGGTCCCAGGCAGAGATGGTGGGCAGCATATTTTGTCATAGGCCTTAGCCCAAAGGTGTGCTGTGGTGGTGGGAAGGTCTGTCTGGGATGGGTATTTAGTAGGATAGGCCTCTGACCACCATGCACTCAATCAACTGTCAGTTTCACCTGCACATCTAACACAGGTGACACTTGAGTGCCAGTCAATTCCTGCAGGACATCCAGGCTGATGAGCCCCGACACAGGATGAGACCTACTTGCTGTGAGGCACAGAGAGACAAATCCCTATTGGTTAGGATTGGAAGGAACTGCAATGCCCTCGGGGCGAGCTAACATCACTAGGGAGCTGAGTCTGAGAGGGTGACGAGGCCCAAGTTCCCCATGCTGCTGTCTCTAGTTGGTCACCTTCCTCACGGAGTCTTGCACGCACTGGCCAGCTCCCTTCCTCCTGGCTCCACAAAAGTTGGAGGGTTAATTTCAGACCTTCTGCCCTGGCCTACAGAGCTCCTAGGCACTATAGCCTCTCCCCCTGCCATCATGTGCACTCACATGTGTTCACATTCAGGCTCACACATGCACACATACACTCATGTTCACACATGCTCACGTTTACACACGTTCATATATGTATAAACTCACGCACACTCCCATTCAAATGTTCATGCCCACACACGACCTGCTGACCCATGTCCACACTCATGTCACACACCTCACACACAGCCCACCTCCCACACAGATGCTATGCTCACACTTGCGTACGTGCTCACGTCCCCCACCCCCACTCCAGCTGCGGTGACCTGTTGTTTCCTGGCCCCAGTGTGCATTGCTGCTTTCTGTTTACATCTCCCTCAGTCCTCTCCCACCTCTTGTTCCTACAGCCCCTTTCCCCCCACACCCCGCCCCAGGACAGGTTGCATTCTCCCCTATGCTCCTGTAGGACAGGACACATGTCCTTGCAGGTCACCATCACCTGCCTGGGCCAGGTCCAGAGGTACCAAGGACCTCAGCAGCCCTCAAAGTCTTCATTAGCAGGGGCGTGTCTGAACAATGAGGGAACCCAGACAACTGCAAGGCACTGACACACTGGAAGCTAATTCTTCCCCCATACCTTCAGGATTCATGTTCCCCTGATTATCCCATTAGGGAGGTTAAATCGTTAAATATTTTCTCTCATTTTTTTTCTGCTTTATTTTGGCTCTTCATTCTTAACTAATTTCAAAGTAGCAAAACTGTAGGACAAGGAATTTCCATATACCCTTTACCCAGGTGTAATGCTAACCTCAGTAAACCAGCATACTGACCAGCTCAGGAAGCCAATGCTGCTGTGATCCTGTCACCTAACCCTCAGACCTGTTCACAGTGCCCACTGACTCCCCTCCCCCAGCACACCTGTTGTCTCCAGTGCTCAGTAGTTTTGCAGACGGTCTCTGGCTGTGGCTTCGGTGGGCTTTTAAGTTACCATTTAATCAATTACTAAGACACAGGTGCTTGGGAGTGGCAGGTGCTCCACCAGTCATCACTGTAGCAGGACAGCTGTCAAGACACCTGGGGCTTATGTTCCTCTGCTCAGGGCCTTTTAAAATACAGGTTCCATCCTTGCTTTTCTCCTAGGGGAGGGGGATTAGTGAGTTTCTTACATCCTCTGTTTTGTTGTTGTATCCTCATAGTGTCATTTAACCATGTTTTGCTGTGTTTTGGATGTGTCTCCCAAAATTCATGTATTGGAAACTTATTCCTCAAATCCATACGTTGGTGTATTTTGGAGGTGGGGTCTTTGGGAGGTGATTAGAATTAAATGAGGTCATGAGGATGGGCCCCCGTGGCTTTATAAGAAGGAGACCTGAGTAGGCATGATTGCTCAGCCTTGCCATAGGATGCCTTCACCATGCTAGGATGCTCATCAGATGCCAGGCAGGTGCTGGTTGCATGCTTTTGGGCTTCTCAGCAGCCGGAACCAGGAGCCCTCCCTTCCTCCCTCCCTCTCTCCCTTCCTTCTTTTCTTCCTTTTTTTCTTTCTATTAGTTAGTGAGAGATAGGGTTTCACTGTTTAGTCCAGTCTAGCCTAGAACTCAAGATCCTTCTTCCTCAGCCTCCCCAGTGCTGGGATTACAGGTATAATCAGGCCCTGCTAAAGCTCTTTTCTTTGTTCTCTATCCAGTCTCAGGTATTTTGTTATACCAACAGCAAGTGGACTAAAACTTCCCTGTATGTCTGGTGGACTGGCTCAACCTGATTTAGGTTCGCTGTTTTACCAGACCCATCTCCAGTCTGCCCTTCTCAGGCCTGGGATGCCAGAGTCTCCACACTCAGGCTTCTTCCTCCACACACTCCCGGAACTGCTGCATTTAACCATTGGTATGCCAGCAATCCAAACCTTTACCTTTAGCCAGGCCTCCCCCTTGGGCCAGGTGCCCTCACCCTGTACTTGGAGGGTCACTTCTCTCTCTGACACCCATCCAGTTGCCTTCAAGGTCAGATCTGAATTTCTGACTATGGCTTAGTTTCCTCCCAGGACCGTCACACTGCTCTCTGTGTGCCTTCCCAACCTGTACCTCCCCTTTTGGACTCCTTCCCTGGGCCTATGCTCTGACTTCTACCCAACATACCCTTTCTCCTTTCTTCATCTGCATAAGTCCAGCCAGGAACCGCCTTTGCCCTGAAGCCTCTCCCAGCTGCCTGGGCTGGGTGACCTGTTTCCTTGGGCATGTCTCCTCCCAGATTGTGAGTCCAAGGACAGAAGATGTAGTTCATCTCAATCTCCATTGCCTGACACGGCACTCGGATCAGTAGATAAATGTTGAAAATGATTTGAGACATTATAAGTCCTAACTATTTAGGATTTCCTGTGCCCTCAAATGTGAAGTGTAGGTCTTGAGGTGACCTCAGGGCACAAGAACAGGTGAGAATGTCCATCAGCTCTAGCTCCTGAACTGTCTTCTGTGGACACACTTGGATGTGCCTGACTTGACTCTTCCTGCTCAGAGCAGACAGTCAATGTGGAGGTCTGTCCACGGGCACCACATGTTATGAGAATACGGAGAAAGAAAAATTCTGAAATTTAAAACCCTTAAGATAATGACTTAAATTGGACCTTATAACAGGGTAAGACTTCACCAAGTTGATTCTGGTTTTGCAAAGAGGGCACCAGGAACAAAGTTTAGCTGTGGGCCTGCCAGGAGCATTCCTGCTGGGAATTCCCTTTGAGATGTACAACACAGGAGACCAAGACACTGAGTGAACCAGGAAGGGGGTATAAGTAAGAACCCATCTGGAGGCTTTTGAAGGCACAGCAGGGGAGTCTGTGTATACAAGCAGTGTACACAAGGGTCAGTTGGAGTAGGGAGGAGGAGTATCAGGAGGCTGAGGACACTGGAACTGTCATGCGGACAGCAAAATCTCCTGCAAGGATACTCCAGGCCCATTAGGCTCTCAAAGACTCCAATGGCAGAATCAAAGAAACAGTAGTGATGAGTAGCTTACAAAGTAGTTTTTCTTTTTTTTTTTTTTTCAACTATCTGTGTGCACACTAGAGGGAAGCATAAATGGTCAAAATTAGTGTTGCTGTGTTTTTGCTTCAGACCTTTGCATGTTGCAGCCACCCTCACTTAGGAACTTTGACTGGGCCCTGTCCTCTCTGTTCCCTGGAACAGCCTGGGAGTGGAAGACCACGCCACAGCCAGCACTGTGGGATTTTAAGGCTTCTAGAACTCTGCCCCAGAAAAAAGAAGACTAATAGGAGAACTGCTGTTTTAGATTAGTGGGAAGCAATTTAGGGTCATGGCAGTGCCATGAGAAATGGGGACATGTGGGAGGGGTCCTGGGTTCCCATTGGTGACCTTCTGGGTTTCTGGCTGTGAGGGCAGGCTCTGCCTGGGATTGCTTTCCCTTCCTCCTGGGGACTTATGGACTCACTGGCACCTTGGCCACAGGCTGTTCTGGAGTCGTTGACACTTGGCATCTGACCAGAAACTAGGAAGACTGGGAGGAGGAGGAAACATCTAAGAGTTTAAACGTCATTAGCTCTTCAAATATCCCAGGCCAGGCAGTCCTGCTGCCACCTGTACTCCTTCACAGAAGGCCCATTGACAAAAGGTCACGGCTACCGTCTGGCTTTCCACGCAGGTGTCCTGCAGCAACCTTTGATTCTAGCTCTGCATCAGTGATCAGGTGGCAGGTGCCTGCCCTGCCTGGCACCGATGCAGACTGCCTCTGCTGCCTTTGGGACCCATCCTGGGGCTGCAGAGCATCTCGTCCTATTCTAGTGGCCGCTTGGGGTGCAGGTTGCTTAGGGTTTTTTCTATTTACATTAAGTGCACACTCAGTAGTTTTATGGATTGGCGGGAGGATGGCTAGAAGTGCTGTGTTCAGCACCCTGCCCACGGGCCGGGCTCACCGCGCCTGTGCCCCACCAGCCCGTCTGGGTCTCCCCACAGGATCTCCTACGACCCCACGAGGTTCCCGCGGCACCTGCCGGAAGCCTACTGCCTGTGCCGGGGCTGCCTGACCGGGCCCTTCGGTGAAGAGGACTTCCACTTCCGCAGCGCCCCGGTCCTTGTGCCTGCCGTGGTCCTGCGCCGCACACCGGCCTGCGCGGGCGGCCGCGCCATCTACACCGAGGACTATATCACCGTCGCGGTGGGCTGCACCTGTGTCCCCGAGCAGGACAAGGACGCGGGCGGCCCCAACTCCAGCCTGGACAAGCCAGGTGCTAAGCTGCTGCTCGGGCCCAGCGATGAGCCGGCCCGGCCCTAGGGCTCTCGACCGTGACCTGCAGGTCAGCAGGGCAGCGCGCACGGCTCCGTGGAGGAGATGGAGCTAGATACGAAATAGAGAGGCTACAGCTGTTTTAGGTAGCGGCGAAAGCGATCTTGCATTAGTAATCTAGAGCAGCTGTGTTACAGTTACTTGACATGGCGATTGACAAGCATTCAGTTTGCTCAGTAGGATGCTTTAGAAGCACGAGTGGAATCCTCAGATAAGCGCTTTGTACCTGGTACGGGGTCCTCGGTCCTCTCAGGATCCAGCCTGTCACCAATGACCGACAATAGTCCACCCATTCTCCACCCCGGGTCCCGCAGGCTATCAGGAGCCGAAGGGATGCCCAGGAAGCTCAGACAGGCATTCCAGAAATCCAAACAGTATTATTCATTGTTATAGAAATGGTGTCAGACTGCAGTTTTGGCCCACCCCCTTTTTTTCCACTCTTGAAAGTTGCTGGGATCAGTTTGTGAGAAGAGATGAAATGTGACATACTTGCCAATTTTCAGGAAGAAATCCAAGCTCCTACTGGCTTTGTTTTAAGGGCTTTAGAATCAGTCCAGATAGGAACGAGTGGGCCAAATAGTCTCTCCAGGGATCAATACTGAAGCTCTTTCTGCAGACTACATGTGAGCTAAATCCTTACTCTTTTTTCAGGTTCAAAGTCTGTCCTTGAATGCAGCTATTTGTAAAGTAAGTTCTTTTTATAAATCATTAAAAACAATGGCAGATGAAGAATGTGTTGGCTGTGTCTATTTCATTTCTCTCTAGTTTCTGCTTAGATTGGCTTGACTGAGGTGTTTTGTTTTTTTGTGGGGGGTGCAGTGAGGATGAGGAGGTGCTAGGGGTAGAACCCAGGGCCTCATGTTTGTAAGTATGCAAAGCATGGGCTGTACCACTGAGCTACACTGCAGCCCCTTACTGATTTTTGGAGGAAACAATGTTAACTAAGGTCTCCATCTTAATTTTATGGTTGAGGTTTAGTCAAGACTTAATTTGGTGTTGAAAAATAAAACAAACTGTAACTTCTGTAAAGTCAATTTCCTTGATCTTTTGTGACACTCCCCCCCAACCAAAACAGCAATGTCCTTTGTTTATATTACACTCCTGTTAGTTACTTTGTTGTCACTTTGACAAAGTATCTGACATAAACAACTTAAAGGGAAAAGGACTTTGGCTCACAGTCACAGAACTTTCAGTCCAAAGTCCTTGGCTTCTGGGCCTGTGGTAAGGCAGAAGGTCATGGCAGTAGGAGCATGTGGCACAAGCTCCCCACCTCACAGAGAACATGAAGCAGAGGAGAGGGAGGGACCAGGTATAGCCTTCAAAAGCATGTTCCTAGTGACCTACTTCCTCCACCACAAACTGGGGACCAAGCCTTTAACACATGAGCCTGTGAGGACATTTCACACTCAGACTGTGAGACTCCAGATCTTCAGATGCTACAGAAATAACAAGCGTTAGCTTCCCTGCAGGACTGACAGCCTGCGTTGGACCTGACAGGAGAGTCATTCAGAAATTTCCATTCCTTCTACATGTTGCCAGAAGGTGTGCATGAGAACAGCACTAAGCAAAATCCAGATTGTCCAATTCAAAATTAAAGGTGAGTGTTGTAGATGGTATGTAAAGTATATGAGATTTTACTTCCCTGTTCAAACGCTGGAGGGAAAATGGGACCCCAGGTGGCAGTATGTCTAGAAAACATTCTTGTCCAGAAGACAGCAAAACTCCATAAATTAAAAAGAAAAACTGCCTTTCAAACTAGCAATTTGGGCAGTTGTTTCAATTGTCACTGCTGCTGTGTAATGTTTCCCAGGCGACCCTCAAACGTAGTGCTTGTCTCAGAGGAAGCTGGAATTAAGGAGACTAAGTTACTAGGTTACCATTCATTGTGTTATCTACACTCAGCTTGTTGTTAAACGGTCACACGTTCCTAATGGAAGAAGTTATCTTCCCATTTTAACATCCAGAAAGGCAAACTTTTTTGTGTTTTTCTAAACTCATCCATTTAGTAAATTATTTGTTATTGTTTATTTTTGTTCTGTGGTTTCAGGGATTAAACACGGGATCTCCTGCATGCTAGGCAAAGACTCTACTATTCTCTAGTTTGGATGTCGAATGTCTCTAAAGACCTACATGTGAAAGGCTTAGTCCCCAGGGTAGTGTTCTTTGGCATGCTGTGGCCCTTAGGTCCCACTAGCTCTGAGGCCTAGTGGAGGTCCTTAGGTCATTGGGAATATGCCTTTAAGACTGTGGGGCCATCCCCTTCCTTGTCCTCTTTTGCTTCCTAGCTCATGAGGAAGCAGTTTTGCTCTGCTGCATGCTCCTTGGTACTGCCATTTGGCATGCCCACCAGGGGCCCAAAGCAGTGGGTCTGACTTTAAACTGGAACCTTCAGAACCAAGAGTCCCAATAAACCTTTTCTTTTACCATAATCTATAGTGACAGAAAGCTAACACAGTAGCTACTAAGCACCTGCCTGGTTCCAGTTCCCAAGCTCCTGGGAGACAACTGTGGCCAAGTCACAATCTCTTTTCAACTAAGACAAACATGAGCTCCTAGAACAGAACTGGTGGCTGTACGCCAACTCCTCATGTGCTGAAGCAGCCATTTTACAATCTGCATTCCTTTGCCTGGCCAAGCTGTTTTCTTCATTTGTGAAAGGAGGCTGTATCACTGTCTTAGTCAGCTTCCCATCACTGTGACAGAATACATCAGAGAAATGAACTTAAAGGAGGAAAAATTTATTTTGGCTCATAGTTGGAACCACAGTTGCCTGGTCCCATTATTTCGGGCCTGCGGTGAGGCAGAACACCACGATGGGGAGGGCACAGTGAAGCAAACTGCTCACCTCATGGTGGCCAAGAAGCAGAGAGAGAAGGGGATAAGGGTGCCAATGTACCCTTCAAGGGCACCCCAGTGAGTTTCCTCCTCCTATCAGACCTCACCTGCTGAAGATTCTGCTACTTCCCATAAGCACCATCAGCTGGGGACCAAGCTATCAACATACAAGCCTTTGGGGACATTAAAGACCCAAACCGTAACAAACCCACCTCATAGAGATTGTGAGGACTAAACATCATTGGTAGAGTACCCAGCAATGTGCCTGGCATGCAGTAGGCATTAAAACATGCTGGCTCATGCTGGGGGGTAAGCTAGCACAAAGTTAGCCACACACGCTGAGCGTGCACGAAGCTCCGGGTCCAATCTTCAGCACCACGGCTAGAGAACACCACGGCTCCAATCATTTTTGAGCCACACTTAAGTGGTTTAAACATCGAGGTAACCCTTCTTCATGTGATTATTTTTTGTATAAAAGGTAAGTTCAAAGTGAAATATGTAGGACTTTCATTGGGCCGCAGCAATTGGAGCTGGCAGGTTGAAACCAAGGTGTGACTATGCATGTGGACATCTGTTTCAATAAGGAATGACAGAATTTTGTTCTCTAATTTTTTTTGTGGGGTTGGTATTGTTTTATCAAACAAATTGGGAAATTTGCTGGCTAGAAAGATTATGGTAGCTAAAGTTCAATGACATCTTTTCCCCTGCCCTCAATTCCACTTTGCATCTTTTTTCACGCAGTCAACGCGGCTGCATTCACTTGCGTAGGCACCTCTCATTCAGAGGCTTTGTGGGAGAACGCTGAACACTAATCTCACAGCTGTGCCCTTGGCTCCCAGACTGCCATGGCATATTGGCTCCTTCAAGTCTTTTTTTTTAGTGGTACTGGGGTTTGAACTCAGGACCTCACACTTGCTAGGCAGGTGATCAGGTACCACCTGAGCCATTCTGCCATCCCTTGTTTTGTGCTGGGTTTTACTGACATACAGTAATCCCCCTAATCCTTGGCTTCAGTTATTGGGGTCAACTGAGGCCCAAAAATATTAAATGGAAAATTGAGGAAGTAAACAAGTAAAAAGTTTTAAATTGTGCACTGTACTGAGTGATGCAATCTCATGCCATCCACTTCATCCTACTGGAAGTTGAGTCATCTCTTTGCTCACTGTACCCATGTGGTACATGCTATTGAGCTGATAGTCACTTAGTGATGAAGAGATTTAGATTGATCAGACCACCTGCTGAGGTATCAAATGGTTGTGTTCAAGTGGCCTTTGTTTTACTTAATAATGACCCTGAAGCCAGTATGGTGGCTCACACTGCAGTTCCAGCTACTCAGGAGGCTGAGGCAGGAGGATTGCTTGAACCCAGGAGTTCAGAGCCACGTAGTGAAGCCCTATTTCATTTACAAACAAAGTTTAAAAATCACCAGGTGCCAGTGGCTCATGCCTGTAATCCTAGCTACTCAGGAGGCAGAGATCAGGAGGGTTGTGGTTCGAAGCCAGCCCGGGCAAATAGTTTGTGAGACCCTATCTCAAAAATACACTGGTGGAGTGGCTCAAGGTAAAGGCCCCGAGTTCAAACCCTAGTACCACAAAAAAACAAAACAAAACAAAACAAAAAAAAACAAAAAAAGGCCCCAAAGTGCAGAAGTAGCAATTCTAACAATTTAATTACAATGTATTGTTATGATTGAATTATGTATTGTGCCTAATTCATAAATTCAAGTTTATCATAGCTATGTAGGGATAGGGAGAAGCCAAGTATATATAGGGTTTGGTACTCTGAGGTTTCAGACATCCCCTGGGGTTGGTTTACTATATATTTTCTAGCATGTTTCCTTTGAACAAACAAAATCATTTGGGAGCAGCAATCAAAATACATGTTGACCAGATGTGGTGGTACACAGCTGGAATCCCAGCACTTGGGAGATGGAGGCCGAGGATAGTCTGTGCTACATAGTGAGGCGCTGCCTCACAAAAACCAACAGAAAGAGTTAATTAGTTACAGAGAAGCATTTAGATTCTATGAGCAAAACTGAAATTATCTTCTCCCTCTCATTCATGAGATGGTGACTTTGTCTCTCAGTGCAAACCTTGGAATGAGGAAGGACTTACAAAGATGTCTACTAAAATATTCTTTTCAGCCTTTGAGGTCCTTTGCAGTGTTGTGAGAGGCAGAGGAACCTCCCAAGAGTTCACAATGCAGATACAGAATGTTGGGTGAGCATCACCAGGGGCCAGCCTCCTTCCACCCTCCTTCTGAGTGACTCTGCCTGCTTAGACAGGTGCCAAGGAGCACACCAGGCTTAGTGAGCTGTCTTCAGGGCTACAGACCTTTTATGACATCCAGAAGTATATCATATGCGAAAACAGACTAGTTATAAGTGAAGTAACGTCAGGGGTCTGAAGCCACGACACATTCGTTGGCCACATCTTGAACAAAGATGTTTATTTTGATCAGCCTCCTAAATTAACCTGTATACATTTTTGGTGAGTTAAGCTTTGCCCCTTCCCTCTTTCCCCTGAAGAAGAAAAGAGGACAACTACATCTCTGAAATTTCTAGGTCACTATCTGTCCACAATTCCTAAATTGGACATTTCATTTCTACACATAATTTGTCATTAAAATTTGTTACTGGCCTAAGTAATCTTTGCCAAATCAATTCACAAGGAAGTAATAAGGTAGGGATTATTGTTTTAATATGTGCCAGGCAATGGTACACTGATAAAAGTATCAACGTTTCACAAAGATACGGAGAGATATTTTTGGGGAGGGATGCTAATGGGATTTGAACTTGGGGCCTCAGGCACTCTACCACTTGAGTCATGCCCCCAAGCCCTCTGTTTTAGTTATTTTTTGATAGCGTCTCATGTTTTTGCCTGAGGCCAGTCTTGAACTGTTCTTCCTACCTCCAAAGTGGCTGATATTACAGCTGCGAAACACTGCGCCCAACTTGTATCGGTTGAGATGGGAGTCTCTGTTAACTTTTTGCCCAGGCTGGCCTTGAACTGAGATCCTCCCCATCTCTGCCTCTTGATTAGTGAGGATAACAGGTGTGAGCTACTGCACCCAGCCAGAGGGATTTTTAAAGTAAATTAAAATTGTCCAGAAGTGTGATAGTGGAGGTCTCAGAAGTAACAAGAAAGAAAGTCTCTCCAGGTTTCCTGAGCACGGGCTTCTGAGGCCTGGCCCCTCTTCTTGGGATCAGTCAGGCTGGGTTTTGCTCCACTCTTCCTGATACCCAACAGGAAAAGCTCATGTCTCACCCCACTAAGGTATATGCTGCAGGGTGGCTGGCCATGGCCCTGCCACACTCAGTACTAGATGGCCAGAGCAGCTCCCGCCTGGAATACTGCTGGTCACTATGTCACAGGAGGTACTTGAAGTGACACATGTCAATTCCTCTCATATTCTATTGACCAAAGCAAGTCATCCTTTCCCAGAGAGAGTTTTTTTTTCCTTTTGTAGTTAAAAATTTTTCAAATGATTGTAGATTCCCAAGAAATTGCAATAATACATGGAGAGGTCCCTTACCCATTTTCTCCCATGGTAACATCTTAGGTAACCACAAGGTCATGTCACAGCCAGGAAACTGACACCGGAACTCTCAGACCACACTCGGAGTTAGCCAGTTTTATATAAGTGTGAGTCTGTGTTGAGCTTTATATAAGCTTGTCGCATGTGCAGATTAGCGACTTCACCACCACAGATGAGACAGTGCATTCCAGGGATTCCCCTTTGTGGCCCACTAATCTGCTCTCCACTTGAGAATGTTATTACACAGTTGGAGACACAGGGCATGTGACCTGTGGGCTGGGCTTTTGCACTTGGCACGGTGTCCTTGAGTACCTATGGCTGGTTCCTTCTGACTGCTGTGTGGTCTGAGGTGATGGACTGAGAACGTCTCAACAGTAAGGGTCCGGCACCTTCCCCAGCTCCATTTTCTAGTGATGGAGTGGCTCACAGGGGACTGCCATATCCTTAGGCCACCTGGAATGAGGTGCTGAGACAGCCATGCTCAGAGGGCACCAGGGTGGTCCCTGCACTCAGAACTGGCAAGAGGAGCAGGAATCTGCAGGCATTCAGACAGTGGTTGCTTGGATTATGAACTCATATCGCCGTCAGCAGGAGAGCAGGCGGCAAGCCCCAAAACGCTGGGGAGGCAGAGACCAGATCCTGTCTGGTTCGCAAGGCCTCGGCAAACACTGTTCTTTTGTTTTTCACTTATGTTGAGCAAGGAGAATGAGCCAGGTGCCAGTGGCCTACACCTGTAATTCTAGCTACTGGGAGGCAGAGATCAGGAGGATCGAGGTTCAAAGCCAGCTAGGGCAAATAGTTTACAAAACTCTAACTTGAAAGTACCTAAGGCTGGTGGAGTGGCTCAAGTGGTAGAACATCTGCCTAGCGAGCATGAAGCCCTGAGTTCAAACGTCAGTACTACCAAAAAAATGAAAGAAAGAAAGAGTGGATTAGACAGCTTCTAAAATTTTTCTCACAACTCGAATTGCATGGACTTAGGTTGGCAGAAAAATCTCAAGCTTATTAAGGAAATAATGAGAAGTTTTATTTTACTTTGAAACTAGGTCAGGATAGCCCCAGTTTGGGGCCGAGTGGGGAGGCGTTACAAGTTTTCAACTGAAAGGAAATAAAAAGAGGAAATGGAACTGTACCGCATTGCTCTCTATACCTAGGTCCCACAGTCCAGCCCAGAGTCATAATTGGCGTAACAGCGAAACTCATTTGCCAGGTTTCGGGTGTGTTCTGGGATGAACCTGCACACCCTCACTCCCAGGAGCTGTGCTGCCTGTTCTTCCATGGTGGCACCTGAGGAGAGCAGAGCAAGTGAACCCAAGAGCAAACACCAACTGGAGCAGACCACGGGAGCTGCCAGCGTCCAGGGTAGGCCACCTGAAGCCAATTAGCAGACGATGCCTTCAACATGTAAGGATGGAGGTCTGTTTATAGTCCCTTTACCTTCCTTGACATTTTTGCAAACTGTCTACCTTTATCATTTCCTTTTTAGGTAATAAATAATTTCCCAAAGCTAGGCCACTCAGAATTTAGAAGTAGATTATATTCCACAATGAAACAAAATAAGCAAAAATAATTACTAGAAACCCAGGTTTCCCAATGTGGGGTGAAGAACCTCTTTTTTGGTAACTAACCATAAAGCATATAAATGATTACATTCCCACTTGTTTTGCCTCTCCTCCCCACGGCCTACCTGGCCCCAGCAGCAAATCCAAAGGCCTCTCCCCAACACTGCTCTGCGGGAGGCAGTGCAGAAGTAGGGAGGAGCACCCCTGCCTGGTGTCCCTCCCCTCTACACTCGGAGCACTGGATCTCCTTCAGTTTTATCTCCAAAGCTTACCTTACTCTATCCTTTACTGTCACTGCCTTGTCTGTACAAGTGGAACACTGTGGTGGCCCCAGGTGGGATCCCTTTGGGTACAAAGCTCACTTAAACTCTTAGACTGGTCCTGTGGCTTTGGGGCTGAGCACTGTAAGAGAAAGCTCCTGCTCCCAGTCAATACCTGTATGGGGCAGGATCCCCTTGCTGCCCCTCACACTCCAGCCACACCTGGCCAGTCTGCAAGGTTTGCTAGTCTGCCTGTGAGATGTGTCTCCTCCCAGGACCTGGCCCACCTCCAGAGCCCCTCCTGTGATTCTCAGCAGCCCCACCCCCCTCTTATTACACTTATCAGAATTAGTCTTCATCTTTTTTGGTCTGTTTTTCACATTTTAAAAACACCTGCCACCTAAAGCAAAAAAGTCTACCCAGGGGATCAGACCACCTGCTCACGGCCTAGTGGGAAGGCTTACTTAACAGTGGTTGGCAGACTAAGCATTAAGGAAAGTATATTTGTATATATTTGTATATATTTATATATATTTGTGGCATTCTTGACCAAATAATGCTACACCATCAAAAGAGAAAGTGGGCCCTGAAGGCCTGAGCCAAGCACAGGAACAGCACCCAAGGGCCTGGACACAGGCTTCCTGGAAGTAAAGAAACCAGTGGGAATAACATCTGGCTCTGTAGCCTCAGGCAATCCACTTCAGAGTCCCAAATTTCTCTTCATCACCCTTGCACCCTGATCAAGGCTAACGTGTGTCAACCCTACAGACCCTGTTAAGCACTTTATGTATACAGTGTCACTCAATTCCCAGTGCTTTTAAAGGCAAGTATAGTATTGTTAGTCCCAGCTTACAAATAAAGAACCCGGGGCACAGAGAGGTTGAATAACTTGTTTAAAGTCACACAGTAAGTGGTGGATTCAGAACTGTTGAAACTCAAGACTAGAATGTGCACTGTCCTTGGCTTTTGTGAGAAGTGAATGTGGCATACCTGTGCATAGAAGAATCTTGCCCCGAGTCAGGTACTTGATGGTTTTGGAGGTCTTCCTGAGACATTCCTCAGAAAGGTAGGGAGGATCCGCTACCACGATGTCAAAACTGTGGGCAGTGACTTTTTCAGGTAAATCTAATGGATGGTTGTAATCATAGAAGATAAATTCCTCTCCGTACATGGCGAATCTTTTGTCAAATTCAAAGATGTACACAGAGACGTGTTCTCTGTGCAGTGCTCTGAGTTTCTGGTACACACTGGGTGCACTCACGCAGGCTATTCTAGAAAACAGAACGAACAAACCTTGAGAGATCTCCAGTGGTGCCACACAACTAGTACTTTACACACACACATCCCTGTGCTCAGACTTTCTTCAACAGTGCAAGCTAACGATTAGTAAATTTTAAGAAAAAACTTTATGTGCCTTCCCTTCTAAGGAATTATGTATTTAAAAACCTAAAGCTCATAATTTTGAGGTATGAAAGAATAAATATACTTTTTGTAGGAAAAAAATGTAAAATGCATCAGAAACACATTAGGACAGATGTTATATGTAGTCAGCCCAATGCCTGAACTCACCAATTATTTTTATGTTGAGCCTTTACTATTTATTTCAAGTGCTTTTAGTCCAAACTAAATATTTTGAAGTCATTTTGTAATATTCATGACCTTGAAAGAAAAAAATCCCAAGTATCCCCCTAAACAATTCTACTTTTCCAAAGAGATGTATTAGGATGAGGTCTTGCTGCAGACAAGCTACTTGAATGTCTGCATAATTTCTTGTGAAAAAAAATGTAAAATCTGTTTTCCTTCCTTCCTCCTTTCTTTTCTCCCTTCCCCTTTTTTTGGTACTGGAGACTTAACCCAGAGCCTTGCATACACAGGCAAGTATTCTACCATTAACTACAACCCCCAGCCCAAATAATCTGTATTAGTACAGGCAGTCCACAGTCCACAGTGTGTGAATGAGTAATGTCCAAAAGTTAACTTTTAGGCTCAGCTATTTAGAAAGCTAGAAATGACCTAAATATTGACTTGAGCTGCCTGTGGTATGTCGTATGATGATAAGAACTGATCTCTAAATCTATTTAAGAAACAGAGAAGAATTAGGTACACTTTTTTGGGGGGGTAGTACTAGGGTATGAACTCAGGGTCTCACACTTGCTAGGCAAACACTACCACATGAGCCATGCACCCAGCTCCTCAAATATGCTTTTTGGAGATAGTTTCTCTTTGCAGCCCAGGATGGCCTTGAACTCGCCATCCTCCTGCCTTAGCTTCCTGAGTGCTGGGACTGCAGGTATGTACCACCACACCTGGCCCATAAAATCTGTTTTCCTGGGTGTGAATATATGCTTGTAAATGCCCAGGCAACTTGTGAAAGGTGTCCAAGAGTCAGGGACCATGGCATGACTACCTTGTGGGAAGGGGCCTAGAGGACCTGGAGACAATGAAAAAGAAAGACTGGCCTTTTCTCTCAATTCCCTTTCTAACTTGGATTTTTATAATGTGCGTATATTGTCATCAAGACTTAATTTTAAAATTAAACTCAGCTTTCAAAATGTGAGATGCAGTTCTTAACCAAGACAGTGTTACCCCATCCCAGAGAGGTACTCATACCAGACTATTATCTGCTCTTGTGCAGACAGTAAAGCCTGGTGAGGTCACATAATGCTTCTGGGGAAAATATATGTCCTAGTCTTGGATGGCAGGGGACATGGCCCTCCCTGAGTAGCACCTCTGGCACTGGGATATCTCCACTGTGTTGAAAGAAAACAAACAGCAATTGAGGATTACACATACACAATGGAAATACCTTCTGAGAAAGAAGGAAAAATAAAATCTGAGAGCTTGCTCAGGCAGGCATTTCATGAGAAATGCTAAATGACAGCTGGGTGTGGTAGCTCATACCTATAATCCTAGCTACTTAGGAGGCAGAGATCAAGAGAATCATGATTCAAGGCAAGCCAAGGCAAAAAATTCGAAATACTCCACATCAACCAAAAAAAGTTGAACGTGGTGGTATGTGCCTGCCATCCTAGCTACGCAGGAAGCACAAACACAAGGCTCTCAATCTAGGCTGGCCCCAAGCACAAATGTAAGACCCTGTTTGAAAATTAGCTAAAAAAATAACTTATGAGCTGAAGTGTGGCCGAAGTGATACAGCATCTGCTGGCAAGTGCAAGACCTTGAGTTCAAACTCCAGTACCACAAAAAAAAAAAAAGAAAAGAAAGAAAGAAAATTTCCTAAAGGATGGACTTCAGGCAGGGCAACGGTCCATGTTGCTCTACGAAGGACTGAAGACAGAGCATAGAGGCCTGTGTGGAAACCTCAACTGGTCATTTCCTGCAGCTGACCTCATGCAGGTGACTCTCTGGCCTCAGTGCCTGTCATCAGAATGGGGGTGTTACCTCAAAGAGGATGTTGGGACCATGGCTCCTTTCTCTTTTTGGTTCTTCTGCCACATGCTCCTGCCATGATATGCTGCCTTGCCAAAGGTCCAAAGGAAAAAGGCCAACTGACTAGGGACTGAGAATTCTAAACCTGTGAGCTAAAGTAAGTCCTTCTTATAAGTCAATTTATCTCAGATATTTGTTACAACAACAGAAAACCTAATAAACAGCAATACATAGTCAAAAAAAGTGAACAGGAAAAAGAAAAACATGACTTCCAGTAAAAGATGACAGATTGAACAATTTTCTGTCTCTTATGTGTCTGTTTTCAACACCGGAGGGTCTTTAATTCCAACACTAGCAAGTGCAAAGTGCTGAGATCAAACCCCAGTATCCCCAGAAAAAAAAAAAAAGTATTTTCTCAGCAGCATTCTATTTCATAAGCACACCATTTCAAGGACCTTTAAAAGAGAATTCAGATGTGAAATTTTTAGAGGTTCAAAAAATGAATGAGCCCTCTTTGTTGGATAGCATATTCAAAGATGCCATCAAACATACTTAGAAATACGATAAATAGATTTTTCCCCCATGAAAGCCCACTAAGTAAAACAAGAATAAAATTTCATTTTGTTTTGTTTTGTTGTTTAGGTATACTCAACAAAAAGAAACAAAGGAATTACACAGGAGAATAAAGTAACCACCCTTAAGAAGATGAAAAGCAAACAGGTGAGTGATGACTGAATTAGCTCACCTAGGAAAGCTGAATCCAGCCTTGGAAGCCAGGACAGCTGAATAGTCCCTGGCTATAGCACAGCATCCCCAAGGGCTCAGGATGTCACAGACCCAGGAAATTTAAGACACAGTGTTGAATGAAGGGTTAAAAGTGTTAGGAGCTCTCTTGAAGCACAAGAATTTGTTGAAAAACCTAGTTAAAAGTAGTAGGTCATTCCCAGGATCTCTTCCATAATCCATGCCTTGAGGAATGTACCCCTTTATTACTGGCAGAAAAGTGGAGGAATGTCCTATGGATTGGGGGGTGCTCAGGACACAAACACAAGGCACAGCAGAGGATGGAGTACCACGTAGAAACTAGAAAAAGGGGGTTGGGAGTGTGGTAGACCTCAGTGGTAAAGAGCTTACCTAGTATGTGCAAGGCTCTGGGTTCCATTCCTAGCACCTCAAAAACAAACAAACAAAGCCTTTAGAAGGATTATATTAAACCCACTGGATGTTGAGACTTCCAGCCTTTTTTCACTGAAAGATGCTAACTTCCAGGCGGGAATTGGGAGAATCACCCCTAGACCTCTGACCAGCCCACAGGAAAAGAGGGAGGCTCCCTAGGAAATGGCTCCTCCTGATTCTCCCATTTTAGACAGCACAGAGGATAAGGTGGGGCTAGGGCACAGTTTAGTGGTGCAGCACATGCTTAGCACAAGTAAACAAAAACCAATCAATGCAAAAATACCAAAGTAGACAAGATGCACCCACAGGTCAAAGCCTTCAGCTTTTGAGTGCCCCAACCTTACATATGAGTGGATAGCCAGGGGTTGATAGAGATTCAAGGAAAATTTCAAATATTTAACAGACATCTCATATTAAACAAATAGAAAAAAGTACTTCAGAGTAAACAGATGATTCAGGGAGAAAACATTTTTTAAGCCTGTGATTAATATGCTCAGAAGAATAAATGAGATAGAATAATAAAGGAATAGTCAGAGACCAAAACAAAAGGATAGACAATTACACATATGATAGCAGATAAACTCATGTTATGGTTCAAATATCAACTGTCCCTCATCAGGCTCATGTGTTAAAGGCTTGGTTCTGAGCTGGTGGCACTATTTTGGGAGGTGGTGGAGCTATAAGAGGTGGAGCTTATCTAAAGGAAGCCAGTTACTGCGGGCTGCCTTTGAAGGGCATATCTTGTCCTGGGCCCCTTTCTTTTTTTCTCTCTCTCCGCTTTCTGGCCGTCAAGAGGTAAGCAACTTTGCTCTGCCACACCCTTCCACTACGGTGCTCTGCCCAAGCACAACACAGAAACAACGGAGCCAGCCGACCATGGATTGAAACTTCTGAAACCATGAGCCAAAATATGCCCCTTCTTCCCTTTAAGTTTTTTCTCTCAGGTATTTATTACATCAACACAAAGTCTAACACAGTTCGACAGAATGTTAGAAGACAAAAGTTGAGGAATTTTCCCAGAAAGTTGAGTAAAAAAAAAAAATAGAAAAAGAAAATGAAATCAGGTCCCATATTCAAATAACAGAAGTTCCAAGAAGAAGAACAAAACAAAACAAAGAAACTATTGGGTGAGGGAATCAAAGAAATAATTTAAGAAAAATTTTCCCAAACCAAAGAACATAAATTATAAGAATGAAAGGGTTCCCCTTTCTGTTGCCCAATGCAATAGATGAAAGTTGTACACCGAGACATCTTGAATACCAGGAAATAAACAATAATCCTTAGCATGCAGTGTACAAGGATGGAAAAAAGCAGATTTCCTACAAGATGTCAGAATGACATTAAATTTCCCCAACAGCACCGATGGAAGCTTGGAGACAATGGAGCAATTCCTTCAAAACCTGGAGTCAGATACCCAGCAAAACTAGCACAACCAAGAGTAAGGAGAGAGTAAGGGGAGAATAATAATATTTCAAACATGAAACCTGTAGAAGCTGTGAGAGGATGTACCCACCTAGATGAGGTTGTAAACTAAGACTTAGGTCAGAAAAAATGAAAATCTGGAACATGAGAGGCAATCAGACACCAGCATGCTTGATAAAGGGAGATCCCAGAGTAAGAGCTGGTGAAAAGTAGAAAGTAGTCAGTCCAGATTGGAACAGGTTGTAAAGCCCTGGGAGTAATTTTTTTTCAAGACATCGGTAAGTTTGAACTTACTGACAGGAGATTTAAATGGAGAACTTGTGGCTGATTAGTCATATGGACAAAGAATGCACAAAGAACAGAAGAATCATTTTCAGCAGGGAAAATGAAAAGTTGAACAAAAAAGGAAAAGGGAAAGTCTCAACTGTAAAGAGCACTTACACAGCCGTAACAACATAAACCCTGTCCCAACCAAAATTAGCATATAACTATTGGGAGTATGGACAGAAAGTATGCATGTTATGTGGCTACAGAGAGGTAAATCCTCATTTGTTGTGGCAAGAAGTCAAGAAACACCCTTCCCCCTTAGATATGGTTTTCCTTTCTGTAGGTTCAATTACCTTCAATCAACTGTGGTCCTAAAATATTAAATAGAAAATTCCAGAAACAGATCACAAATTTCAAATAATGATTATAGCATATTATTATTATATTTTATCATCAGTTATTGTTGTTAATCTCTTCTTGTGCCTAATTTATAAACTCAACTTTATCTTAAGTATGTATATATGGGAAAACACAGTTTCTACAGACTTGTGTACTATCTGCAGTTTCAGGCATTCACCAGGGATCTTGGGATGAATCTCCGTGGATAAGGGAAGATGAACAATAATGTTTAAAAATGACAAATCAAGAAGTGGCCATGTAGACATGTTATTTAGAAAGCTGACTGCAAATACAAAAGAATCAACTGAGTGGTAAGTGTGGAGGAAATTACTAATGGATGTTTTTCTGAATAAGACTTTTAGAACCAGTTGACTCTATATGAATGGAACATTAAGATTCTGTGTTTTGTTTTGTTGCAAGGGATTGACATGCTAAGCAAGTGCCTGACCTCTTAGCTACACCTCCAACCCCCAAGATTTTCTCTTTTAAAGCATACTCTTAGAAGTACAAAGGTTAAGAAATGGGTTAGAAAATGTACAAAGAACCGAGCTGAGGACATAGGTCAATGTCAAGCACTTGTCTAGTATGCAGAAGACCTAGGTTTGATCCCCCACCCTGCAAAATAAATAAACAAACAAAAAAATATGGGCTGGTGAGTGGCTCAAGTGGTACAGCATCTGCTTAGCAAGTGTGAGGACCTAAGTTCAATCCCTAGTACTGTCAAAAAATAAAATCAAAAAATAAATTTAAAAGATAGGAAATGCTATAGTGAATAGATTTTAGAGTGTGTCCCTAAACTCCGTGTTGAAGCAGCTTTGAATGAGTCATATGCTATAAACTATGATCACCAACATTTGTGTATTACAGGTCAGACTTCTCACAAACCATCTCTCATCTAGGAAAGACATTCAAGACTTTAATTTATAGACTCATTTGTGACTCATAAGTGTGATGAATTGGTTTTCACACCATTGTGTGAACTGTAACTCCCACAAATTAATTTAGACTAGGAGACAAAAAGACAAATAGAATCTGAATCTCACCTGCCTCCTTCTCCGGCAGCATCAACAGCTTCCTGTGCAAGTCGCAAAGCAGTTTCCTGACTGTACCAGAACTGGCTCAACTGCTGTGAAGAGGGACAAGGCAACTTAGATCCACATAAAACATGTTCTTTCAATTCGTACCTACTATATTGGTGTGTGTATCATTCTTTTGTTACAGACTCATTTTTCTTTGATGTTACCTTAAATCAATACAAACTCCTAATGTATTAAAGGCATCTACACACTGAAGACCAGTGACAGCTAATACCACAGTCCTCACACTGGCAGCTAGTCAACAACCAGTGAGCAGAACCCAAATGCAGAGGCCAGGACAGCACAGGGGTGTAGCAGTGATTTTCCATGGCTTCATCATTACCTTCTGCATGCTTCCTGAATTACTTGTTTTCTCTCAGGGCTGTTGTTTATCATCTTGCTCCTTCTGTTTCATGCTGATTGATAACTTAAAAAAAAAAAATTCTAGTGATCCTTACTTATCTATTCATATTTAGAAATGAAGGATGATTTCAGTGTGAAAAAACATTGCATGGTTTTCCTTTGTAATTTATAGGCTCATTTCTCCAGCAGGCTTCTCTCTCCCCAGAACAGCAGGGCATGGGGTAAGTCAGCTACATGGCGGTAGTCCCTGCAAACTAAGGATTCTGTGCTTTAAAAATATGCTCAAGAGCTGTGGTGTAGCTCAGTGGTAGAGTACCTGCCTTGCAGGCCTGAGTTCCACCCCAGCACCATCTTCAGTGGAAATGACCCAAACGTCTGATAACTGATGAGTGGATAAATAAAAGGTGGTATACATCCATACAATGGAATATTATTCAGTCAAAAGATGGAATGAATATTGATACACACTAAAACACTGATGTGCCTTGGAAACATTTGCTCGTGAAAGAAATCAGACAAAACCCCACATATTATATGATTCCACTTATATGACATATCCAGAATAGGCAAATCTGTGGAGACAGAAAGAAGACTGGGGTTGCCAGGGCCTAGGAGGATTGGGGAGTTAGGAAGTAAGAACTAAAGGGTGCAGGGTTTCTTTCTGAGGCAATAAAAATGTTCTAAAATTGATTGTGGTGACAGCTGCATCTATCTGTCTGTAAATACACCAAAACCCACTGAATCATATGCTTTTAAAGGGCAAACTACAGGTTTGTTAATTATTTCTTCACCCAAGTGGAAATCTGCTCAGATAAGGAGGGCTTTACTCTGAGTATGGAGAACTTCAGTGTACTTCTCTCCTGAATAGAGCTTTTACTTTTCTTTCTTTTTTCTTCTGGCAGGACTAGGGTTTGAACTCAGGGCTTCACTCTTGAAAAGCAGTCACTCTACTACTCAAGCCGTACCTCCAGTCCATTTTGTTCTGGTTTTTCTGGAGATGGGAGTCTCCTGAACTATTTGCCCAGGCTGGCCTCAAACTGCAATCTTTCGGATCTCAGCCTCCCAAGTAGCTAGGATTATAGGCATGAACCCTGGGGACTGGTGAGTTGTCTTTTTTCAAAGTTTTTGTTTGTGGTAGAGCTCCAGAGTTATCTTAGATTCTATTCTGTATTTCTTTCTGGCTCTTCTACACAAATTTGAGCATTCTCAAAGCAGGCTCTCAAGTTTAGTGAGGAAACTTCTGGGATCTGGCCTGGAGATGAGTAACTCAGATGCTGTGTACAGCTTCTCCATGTGATCAGAACAGGCAGAGATCAACTGACCCCACTATGATAGCAGGTGACCCTTTAATTAACCATAATGAAATTGATCCATTGGTCATTTTTGCCCTCCATGTTCACAGGGTCTGAGTTTGGAACTGCTGTCTTTGAGGTTCTCTACTAGAAAGTAGGCTTCTTCCTGTCCTCCTGCCACATTTCTCACTGTGTAGCAATTACTATTGCTGTGTCTCGAACCATCTAACACCATTTACCTTCTAGAAATTGCTCTTTCTAGTCAACCAATAGCACTCTTTATTCCTTAGTGGCTTTCAAATGGAGCAATACATTCTCTTTCTGAGGTCTCTCTAGGTTGCCCAGGCTGGTCTCGAACTTGTGGATTCAAGTGATTCCCGCCCCCCACCGCCTCAGACTCTTGAATAGCTGGGATTCTGTTATAACGATTTTTTTAAAAACCATCCTGCTGTTCATTGAATGGAGAAGGAAAAGTGAAAATCCACACGACTGACTTACCATCTTCAATCAGAAAGCCTAAGGAAATGTGTTTAAAACAATCTCACCTACTAGATACATAGCAAGATTTTACTCTTCAAACTGACCTTGCAGCCTAACTGTGTAAGGCATCATTGTTGAGTTTTCTTAAATAAAATTCAGAAACTTTATATTTGACTTTTTTTTTTCAGAACTCCAGATTTTACTTAATTATTCTCCTTTGGTGGTGATTTAAGTTTTTTGTTTTTACTACTGTTAAGTGCACTCCTATGACTATCTCTCTGGATTCTGCTCTGTGTGCACGGGCATATAAATCTAAGGACACACCTGTAGAAATGAAATTCTGAGGTGACCAGTCTATACGTTTAATATTTGATAGTCTTATTCCCTCCCCTCCAAAAAGCCTGAATTAATTTATATTATGTCAACCAGGTTTTGTTAGTACTTGCACCACCCTATCGACATAGGTGGGCATCTTTTCATGTGTTAAGTGATCATTTTTAGTTTCCTTTTATGAATTATCTTTCTCTATTTTTTTCATTGTGTTTACTGTTTTATTATTGCTTTCTAGAAGCTCTTTATGTGTTTGTGAGTAGAGAAAAATGTCAGATGGAGCCAGTCTGAGGTGCTCTCTACTTAACAGGAAACTACTTCAGAGAATGGTAACTTCAGTTTTGTTTTTTTTTTGAGACAGGGTCTCACTATGTTCAGGCTGGCTTCAAACTCATGATCCTTTTGCCTCAGCCTCCAGAGTATTGGAATTACAAGTACATGCCACCATGCCTCCAGACAGTTATTCTTTTTTTTGGTGGTACTGGGATTTGAACTCAGGGCCTTGTGCTTGCTAAGGAAGTGCTCTACCCCTTGAGCCAGGCCCCCAGTCATCTTGATTGTGATGAAGCAACAGAAAAATATGGCCACTATATAATCATATCTGAGCACAGATAAAACAAGAGCACCGTGAAAGTCCAGCAAAAAGACCAAACATTCTCCTTTCGCAGGTAATGCTTTACAAATTACAGCTTTGTATAGTCCATCACGAGCTCTCAGATATTAACTTAGAATTGCATATTCTCTGAGATTCCTCGTCACCCAACACCAGCCCCAATCACCAAGTTTTCCCATACCTCTTATTGAGGTGATTAAGAGCTCTCCCATGTTAGCAGTTTCTCCTGCTGTCACAAGCAATAGACTAGCTCTGTGTATGTTCCTCAGGTGTGCTTCCTATTATCTTTGCTGGGCACAAATAACTAGATGTTAACCCTCTTCTCACACTTGATATGTATTTCCTTCTCATCTTTCTTTTCCTTTTACCCTGCCTATGCTATCTTCTGTCTAATTTCATGTTGTCCATTTTCTCAGTCTTCTTCTCCTTGTTTCATAAAAGATTGTATTTTCTTTTAAACTTTTATTATTTTTATGTTTAACTGTTTAATCCATGTGGACTTGAATTTTGTATGTGGCTGATAAGGGCTGAGGTGTTTTAAAAACGTAGGACACTGCAGGATCTGGTTCCCATGGTCATCTGAGTGGTTTTCCTGACTCTTCCACCCTACCTCGGGAGTCTTGCTGGGGTCCTTGCTTTTTGTTCCCACAGCACAACTCATAACAGTGATGGCTTCTGTCTTAGAATAGTTTGTTTTATTTGTTGCATGATCCTTGGTCTTTTAAAAGCCTTATTCTGGAAGATCTTACTAATATGCAATGGTTCTACATTACTCAAAACAAGATAGAATTCAAAATTACTACAGTTAGAATAAGGTGTTATTCAAAATGGCAAATAGTATGAATGTGTAAACAAATCAAATCAGTAACATTTACTGACTACAATGAAAAGCAGGATGGCTTCACATATTCCCATCTAGATGTCTGCGTAATACTGACTGAATATTTACTCAAAAATACAACTTCAAAAGTGTTTCCAAAGACAGAATGTGCACATATTTATGTGCATGTATGTGTGAATTCATGAGTGCATCTGTGTTGGCCCATTCTTTCTTTTTTAATCTACCTATTCTGAGGTGTTGGGAAAGGATTTTTTAAACTATTTTTTATTAGCACACATTAAGAGTACAAGGAGGCTTCATTATGATAATTCCATAGATGTGCATAGTGTACTTTGAACAAGTGCACTCCTCCATTATCTTCCCTTAATCTGCCTCCTCCTCTACCCATTCTTAGTTACAGGAAGAATGCTGAGCTTTGATCTCATTCCTTGTGCTTAGGACAGCAGTGGGAAAGCTCTAGTGTATACAGTAGGAGTGTTGGCTTCCCAGGGGTAGGGAGGCTGAAGGACACATCTGCTCCCAAGCATCCTAAGTGGTAAGAGCTATCTGCTGGCTGATTACCGAATTGTCTTTCTTCCCCACACAACACTGTTAGGGGATGATGATGTGTTTGAACTCTTCTCTCATTATTTCAGAAAATGAAAAATCCTACTCTTAATGTGTTACATGAACATGGCTTTACAAGTCAAAAGGACAACTGGGCTTATAATGAGAAAAAAGCCTCCCATCCCATGCTTCCCACCATTGGACCCTAATCCTCAGAAGCTGCCATCTTAGCTGTTGGCTCTTTGTTTAATCCGTATCTGTAAATATTATGTTTAAATGCTATCTCTTGATTAAGTCAGTATATATTATTCATTTCCTGTGGAGATGAGGATTTTGGTCTCTCTGACATACCTTCTCCCTTTCCCTTGCTCTCAGTGTAGTCATAATCCATGGTTTGGTTAATGAGAATCAACTGTCAGAGTTCACTGCTGAGGCACGTAATACACTACAACTCCATTCCCTTCCAGTGTGACACTTTTGATGTTTAGATACAAGCTAATAAACACATGCTTGTTTCATTTTCTTGGTTTTTTTTTTTTGTACTTATGCCCAATTTTCCCAACATCCTTTGTTGACCTTTCAGTAAAATTTTCTTCCTGTCAGATATTCTATCATTTTTCTTTTTTTTCCCCTGACCATGCCCTCCTAAAATAATCTGGACCAATTGCTCTTCAGTATGCAGCACAGCTACTGTACTGGGACTTCCTGTGACACCAGCATTCTGGGAATTCCTTCTCCTGCCACATGTGTAGGACTTCCAATTCCCTGGAGCCCAGGTTTTCCTTTCTTTATTTTTTTTTTGTGGCACTGGGGTTTGAACTTAGGGCCTCACACTCGCTAGGCAGGCGTTCTACCACTTGAGCCACTCTAGCAGCACATCTTCCTTTCTTTGCTTGCTTAGGAGGCGTTGTCATGAGTTGCCATGTCTAAAATGTTTTTATTTTGTCCTCACACTTGACCACTGAATAAAATTTTCACTCCAAATGTTGAAGGTATTTTTAAGATTTCTTGATACTAACAGAGCTATTAGAAGTATAATGTGCCTCTAGTCCTGAAACCTTATAGATGGCAAGGTGAATCTTCCTCTGGAAGGTTCTAAGATCTTCTGTGCTACCCAGATCCTAACTCTCACAAGCACTACAACTGTGTCTTAGTGAGAGTCTTTAGTTCTGGGAGGGTTCCAATGTTGTCCTTTGAGGGTTTCTTTCCCTTTGTTTCTTTTTCTGTTTTTCTAGAATTCCTATTAGTTGGATAGTAAGCTTCCATACATTTATCCTCTAGTTTTCTAATATTGTCTTTCGTATGTTTTCTTCATATGGTTGCTATTTTTTTCTATTTCCTGGGGTATTTCCTCAATTTTATCAACAACTATACTAAATGAAAGCATTCAGATTAAAAAAGTAAGTAGTGGGATTAGGACTGATTTTTGGCTTTGTTCATGTTTTTATGTATTTTCTACAACAGCCACAGGTTATTTTTAGAATAAAAAAAAGAGTACATAGTATTCTAAATATTTAATCAGAAGGAAAAAAGATAAGACACCTCTGGAATAAAGCAAGACTTCAAGTTTCTCACATTTCTTATCTGCAGAAGCATCAAGTGAAGAGGGTAGAAGTACATAAAGAGGAAAATCATGAGAAAGAGGCTAGAGTAGGTAGAATATGTGAAGTAAATGGAAAAAAAAATTTATCATAGTTTTAAACAGAACAAACAGGATAAGGTTAGATCTTAGCAACTCAAACTGGACACAAAAATATAAAAGAGTGCAAAAGAAAGCACACATAAAAGAAAGCACACAAAGCTTTCTTCTACTTGCAAAGTGACAGAGCAACACAGGCCTGTCACTGAGGGGTCATCACAGACAATTTCAAGCCTTGTCTGTTTCCCAACTGTGTTCTTCAAAAAACTCACGGTATGGGTTTCCCTGAACTCTTTTTCTTCTTTAATTCCTACTTTTATTTGGACTATAAAATTAAAATATGTAATATATGCTAGAAATTATTAACAGCTTAAAAACTCACTATCGTCAATTTTTTCACTACATGCTTATTTACTGAAATTATGTACTTTTCTCTTTCCACCAGGATTGCTGGACTCCATGAAAACCAACTGAATGTGTCTGTGTCCAAGAACAAAGCATTCATTTATGTGGGAGACAATGAAATATAGTCCCCCTATCTGAAAAGCCTGCTCCTTTGATCACCAGCCAGCCTGACTGTCAGAACCAGGAGGATCTTCTGTGCTTAAACTGTCCACGGTGTTCACAGGCTGTGCTCTGCCCTCGAGCCCTGTGGAGTTATCAGCTCCTGAGTGACAGGTGATAGAGACTCTGGTATTAGAGAAGGACGCAAACTAACCCTGGACTCAACACAGAATAGGCTCCATGCAGTATTTCCCAACAGAAGTGTGCTGCATTTGCTTACCCAGTTCTCTTCTATTATTCCAATGTTATATTTATCCTCCCCACATGGGTCAGTGTGTTGGTTCTGCTCAGCATAAAATTCCTGTAGAGCTGCTAGGGTGTGGGAAGAAAGCTGGGGGATATCATCGTCTCCTGCGTCACTCATTTCACCAACTGTCTACACCCTGTAGATGAAGGAGTAACAAATAAGCTTGAGCTTATAGCAAGGACTCAGTTTTATACAGGAAACATATGTATTTAAAATTTCTGGGATCCAATACCTACAAGGGGCTTCTTCTGAACTACTGTTCAACAAATGCAGGCTTTTCTGTGTTCAGCTTTCACGAAGGTCACTTTCACTTTTTTATGATTCCCTGCATGAGGAACTACTTACCACAAATGTCTAAAGACATTTCACTTCTGACATGCAACGGCCACAGGCGGACATTTCACAGTAGGTTTTCTAGTCAGAGACCTTTGTATGCTTGAATGGCACTGTTTAGATGAATTAAGGTCTATGAGTGTCACCTGTGCATGTAAAAGACCAACTCAGAAAAGTGTAGAAAGAGATGGGCAAAATAAAAGGGATAATAAGGAGAAAGAGAAGAAAGAGTAAAACAGAGGGAGAAAGAAAAAGAAGGTGTTTTTGTAGAAAGTGATGGCCAAGTTCAGTGACCTCTTTTTGGGATTCTACACTGCCACACTATGACTTATAGGCCCAGTCCTCCAGCTGGCCAAGTCTTCCCAGCATCCTGACAACTGTTAAGCACAAGAGAGTCCCAAAACCACACACATAATTTGCCACAAACACCAAACTTCACTGAAAGCAGTTATTCTCAGTTACACTAATTACAAGGAAAAGACAAATCACAATCAGCCAAAGCACGAGACGTAGGGAAGAGATTATGAGGTTCCAAACTGAATCTTCTATCACCCTCCTGGCATCCATGTGTGATGATGTGCATAGAGTACTGCTCAGCTAGGAAGCTCCCCAGAGTTTTTACTGACATTTCATTCTCCAGATATGACTGATGGAATAACTGTTCATCTGAAGCCAGGTCCAGTTCTGCCCTCCCACAGCTGTGCTGAAGGACTCCCAGGAGTAACAAAGATGCTTCTATCACTTGGGCAATTCCATGCGTTTACAGGTTACCAGGAGCCGGGACAAAGACCTCTCTTTAGGGAAGTCACATTTCTCACTACACAGGTACCAAACACATCTCTAAACCAGAAGTTATCAAGGAACAAAATACAGCTTTCCATAAGTTTTTTAGAATACCACATCTAAGCTTAACAGTAAGTGATCTGTTGGAAATCAGCAAAGGTCATTCGAGGTTTCCTACTGCTGCTTTCATCAAACTGGAAGGCTTGTATGGGTGCCAACCAGGGCAGGTGCCTCAGCCCTCACTGCAAGGGCTCACTGCAGGCTTAAAAAGAGTTACGAAGGTGTTCGGCAGCGATTTAAGGTGAGAAATGTCTGCTACATGCTGCTTTTGTTCCTTTTCAAAATTAAAGAGCTAGTCGTTCCATGTAAAATCATAAAACAAAAACCTTGTATATGCCAACTGCTGACAACAGAGGGTATTTTCATCTAGTACAAATGACTGTTGATTCATTCCTTCATCAAAGACTTGTCTGTATAAAACAGGCTAATAAACACCTGGTCTCACAAATAGAAATAATAATAATACTAGAAATAGAAATAAGCCTTTTATGAGCAAGCAGTTTGTCCTCTAGCAAGAAGTAGTGCAAAACAGTCACTATATGATTTGAAAACATACTATATGATTTGATTTATACCAAATTCAGAAACAGGAAAACCAAACCAGGTCATTTAAGAAGGCATATGATTCTCTACTTATCAAAGGTAGATTTTTTTTTATTTTTTTGAGACAGGGTCACCCTATGTAGCCCAGGCTGGCCTGGACCTTTGACCTGTCTGCCTCAGCCTTCCAAATGCTGAGATTACAGGTATGTGCCATCACAAACAGCCATAGATGGAATTTTGTTCCAAAAAAATCTCCCCAAATAAAAACATCCATTCTAAGATTCACTGAATTCTATAGAACAGTTAAAGAAATGATGGGGCCAACTGCAATCCTAGCTCCTTGGAAGGCAGAGATCAGGAGCATTGCAGTTTGAGGGTAGCTTGGGCAAAAAGTTCACAAGACCCCATATCAACCAATGGCTGGGCCTGGTGGCATGCACCTGTCATCTCAGCTATTCAGAAATAGGAGGACTGTGGTCCAGGTCACCAAGGCATAAAGCGAGAGACCCTATCTCAAAAATAACCACTGCAATGCTGGGCACCGGTGGATCATGCCTGTAATTCTAGCCACTCAGGAGGCAGAGATAGGAGGATTGTAGTTTGAAGCCAGCCCAGGCAAACAGCTCTGTGAGACCTTATCTTCAAAAACGCTTCACAAAAATAGGGCTGGTGGGGTGGCTCAAGGTGAAGGCTGAGTTCAAGCCTCAGCACTGCAAACAAAACAACCAAAAAAAACCACTGCAAAAAGGGCTTCAAAAAGTGGCACAAATGGTAGAGTGCTGTCCTAGCAAGTGTGTGGTCCTATCATTTCTTGCTCCTATGAGTGTCCCTCTATTTCAAAACAAGTTATAGAAGAGAACTTCTTCAATCTGAAAAAGGGCATTTATCCAAAACCTGTAAAACTACTATCATACTTAATTCACCATCGTTGTAGTGTTTCTAGACATAGGGAAGAGCATAAAGACTAGAAAGAGGAAGGCCCCGATTCCTGGGGATCACTATTCACAGGAAAAATCCTAAGGAAACATTCCCCTCATCCACATCAAAGGCAAAAGCAGCAGTGCTACAACATGTTGATCAAATGCACCCTATGTCATGATGAGGATGTCACCTCATTTCCACATCCTTCCTCTCAAAAAACCAGAACCCCAGTTAACCATATGAAAGACATTAGGAAAATCTTAATTGAGACATTCTACAAAATATCTGTCCAGTACTTATAATTAATGGTCAGGTCAAAAAAAAGAAAAGAGTCAAGTCATCAAAAGCAAGAACAGTCTGAAGAACTGTTGTAGCCAAGGGAAGCCTAGGGAGACATGACAAGTAACTGTAACATGGTACCTGGATGGAGTCCTGGAGCAGAGAGGGGTGCAGTTCTGACTTTGGTTAGTAAGAATCACATGCCACCGTTGCCTTGGTAATGTGACAAGTGCACCAAATTCTATGCTAATTATAGAGGAAACTTGTGTGGATATTAGATCCGGTTCCTTTAATTCCTTGCCTGGCTTTGCTACTCATGTGAACTGTTTCAACAGGTATGTTTAATTCCCATTTCCTGAATACTTACCAATGTTGAGCATGTTTTTATATGCATAATTTGCCATGCATTTTTACTCTGGCTGAATGTCTGCTCATGTCTTTTGCTCATGTCTGGAGTCTGGAGTGTTTAGGTCTTTTTTACTGTTGTTTTGAGATATCTTGGTGCCTGTGATCCCACCACAAAGGAGTCTGAGGCAAGAGGATCAAGGGTCAAAGCCAGCCCAGACAAAGAGCTTCTCAAACCCTATCTCGAAAATACCCATCACAAAAAGGGCTGGCGGAGTGGTTCAAGGTGTAGGCCCTGAGTTCAAGCCCCAGTACCAAAATAAATAAATAAATAAATAAAAATAAACAAAAAGGCCAGGTGAGGTGGCTCACACCTGTCACTCCAGCTACTTGGAAGGTGCAGATCAGGAGGATAATGGTTTGAGGGCAGCCCAGGCAACAAATAAGCTGGGTTGGCAGCATGTGTCTGTGATCTCAACTACTCAGGAGGCTGTAGCTAGAAGGATCGTGCTGCAGGCCTGCTGAAAGATAATTAAAAGAAAAAAGGACTGGAGGTATGGCTCAGGTGGTAGAGCATAAGGTCCCGAGTTCAAAGGCCCAGTACCACCAAAAAAAAACCAACAAAATTTTAGAGTTTTACCTTTTTAAGTTTAAACCTATGATCCATTCAATTTCCATATAAAATTGTGAGTTGTAGGTCAGATTCTTTTTTTTTTCCATTTGTGCATATCCAATTGCTAAACCATCATTCGCTGGGAAGGTTATTTTTGAAATTACATTTTCCCCTTTGTCAAAAATCAGTATACCTATAATCTCAGCTACTTGGGAGTGATCTCAAGATCAAGGCCAGCCTGGGCAAAGTTAGTAGCAGGACTTTCTCAAAAACAAAATACAGAGCTGGGTGTGGTGCACCTACTATAATCCCAGCTCTTGGGAGGCTGAGACAGGAGGATAGCCAGATTGAGGACAACATAGGTTGCATATAGCAAGACCCTGTCTCAAAAAACTAAAGAAAAACAAAAAGCAAAATGCAAACAAAAGGACTAGGACAGTATCTCAAGTACTTGCCTAGCATGTGTGATGCCCTGAGTTCAATCCCTATAATCACAAGAAAAAAAACTGGGTGGGCATATATGTGTGAGTCCATTTCTGGTTCTCTATTCTGATCCACTGATGTTGATGTCTACTTCTCTGAAAGCAAGTTTTTATTATAGTCAATGGTTATGTCTTAAAATCTGGTTCCATGATTCTTTACATTTTATTTTTCTTATTCAAAACTGTTTTGATCTGCTTCCTTTGCTTTTCTGTATAAAGTATATAATAAACTCACTTCTAACTTCAAAAATATCTTCCTGGGAATAGATAGGAATTATGCTAAACCTGTGTAAGGATTTTGGAAAAAAATGACATCTTTACTATATGGTATATATCTTCATTTATTTAGGTCTTTCTTGATTTACTTCATCATTCTTTCATATATTCAAAACAGTGGCCCTGTACATGTTTTGTTAGTAACTGTGAATGACCACATTTTAAATTTGTTTCAATGTTGTATTTAGAAATACTACTGCTGGGTGCTCGGTGGCTCCGCCTGTAATCCTAGCTACTCAGGATGCAGAGATCAGAAGGATTAAGGTCTGAAGCCAGCCCAGGCAAACAGTCCTTTAGTTTCCCTATCTTGAAACTACCCATCACAAAAAAAGGGCTGGTGGAGTAGCTCAAGTGCTAAGAGTGCCTGCCTAGCAAGCATGAGGGCCTGAGTTCAAACCCCATGCTGCAAAAAGAAATACTATTGATTGTTGTGTTTCAATGTCTCCTACAACTACATTACATTACATTAGCTCTAGTGGTTTCTTTATAGATTTTTGTGGATTTTATACTAAAGAAATCATGTCTCAGTAAACTCCAATCTGCGTGCCTATTTAAATTTATTGATTTCCTCACCTTGCCTTGCCTTATTGCACTGGCTACTCCAGAACCAAAGTAAGGGTAGTGAGAACAAGTATGCTAGGCTTGTGAATGATTTTACGGAGAAAAGGATTTAATCTTTCATCATTGACTATGATGTTGGTTGTAGGTTTTTTGTAGAAGCACTTTATATCAACTTGAAGAAACCCTCCTTTAAAAAGAAGTTTGCTAAATTTGATCATAAATGGTACTGTATTTTCAAATGCCTTTTACACACAAATTTAATGATGTGACTTTTTAGCCTAATATGATAAATAAAATTGATTTTCTAGTAGAACACCAGCCTATATTCCTAGAATAAGTCTCACTTGAGACTTATATACTTACATTATTCTTTTAATAATATTGCTGGATTTTACTTAGTAGTATTTTGTTGAGGATTTATATACCTATGTTAAGGAGACATACTGGTCTATAGTTTTCTGTCTTTACTCTCTTTTCTGGTTTTGGTACCACAGTAATCTTTGTCTCACTTAATGAGGTAGAAATGTCTCGTCCCTTATAGTTTCTGGAGGAGACTGCAGAATCAGTGTTAACTCTTCAGTCATTAGGTACAATTTCTCAGTGAAAGCATTTGCTACAGGCCCAAATGTTTCCCCCTTCTTGAATTCATACACTGAAGTTCTAACCCCCAATGTAATTGTATTCGGAGCTACAGCCTGCGAGAGGGTGATAAAAATTACATGAGGTCTTATGGAGCTTTAATATAATAGGGTGCCCTGAGATAGTTTGGATTTGGAATGTAACTCAAAGATCCATGTGTTAAAGGTGTGGTCCCTAGCTATTAGGAGGTAAAGGTACCTATAAGAGTAGGGCCTAGTGGAAGGAAGTTAGGTCACTGGAGGTGTATCCTCAAAGGAGACATTGGGATCCCAAAGCCTCCTCTTCATTTCTTTCACTTCCCAGCTTCCACATGGTGAGCAGCTTGCTCCACCATACATTCCCGACTATGAGGTTTTGAATCACCATAGGCCCAAAAGCAATCATGCACTGAAATCTCTCAAACTGTGAGCCAAAATAAAGATTTCCTCCTTTTAAGTTGATTATCTTGGCTATTTTGCTACGGTAACAGAAAACTGTCCAATACATGCCCTTGTAAGAAGAAGACACCAGAGCTGGTTTCCTATCAGGTACAGGATACAATGAGTAGGCAGCCAGAAACGAGACAGGAAGAAAGCCCTCATCAGTGTATCTTGATCTTGGGACTGCCCAGTCACCAAAATTGTAAGAAATAAATGGCTGCTGCTTGAGTCATTTGCCTTCATGATATTTTGTTAGGGCCACTA